GGGAGGAAGGAGGAAGGGGGTGGGGTCACCCTTGGTCCTCCGAAGCAACCACTACGTGTATTGGAGCCCTGCTTCCTGAGAAGGCCCGACATCGCCTGTCCATGGGAAGTAGAGACTAAATCTGTTTGCTTTTGCTTCCGCGCGCGGACTTTTGCTTTGCCTTGCTTATATTAAAACTGCTTTTGTTTCACCCACAAGGGTTAGTTTATCTTCTTTCCCCTCTTTACCCTATTGAGAAAACAAGGGGAAAAAGGGGGGGGAAGTGATAGAGCGACTTGGTGGATACCTGGCATTTAGCCAGTCAAACCATCACAACAGCTCAAGCTGTTTATGAATACTGCAAAACAACATCTCCACAAAAATCAGACATCTCAATTTCAACACTAAAGGTGCAGGAGTGCAGCCGAACAGCAGAGGGAACTGGCCAAACCATAGCTGCTGCTCAGTGGAAGGCACTCACTCCAGCTCTCAGATTCCTCCATCTAGGAAGCCCAAGGCTTCCTCTGAAGCAGCTTGAAATATTTCAGTTGCCAATTAAAGCTTTATTCAGCATGATTGGTAAGTTCTAAATACTGCAAAAATGAATGTTATACCTATTTGGTAACTTCCTTAATTCCTCAACCTTCACACCTCTGCTTTAAAGAATAATTTATATTACTAATTACAGCATCTACTTCCATCGTCCACTCTCTCATCTGGGCTTCTTTGAGAGGGATTAAAATCCATTTTGACATGATTGCTACCAGATGACTGTTTTACTCTCTGTTAACAAAATACAACACTCTCCACAAATATATACAATCGTTTTTCCCATCCTCATATTCTTTGCCCCACAGCAGTGAGACTCCCAGCTGGACACAGAGGGTATAAGCCTGGCCTGTCCAAACCCACAGACAGCTCTGAACAGTCAACACACAGAAAGAGTCACCCCTCTCATGATAACCGGGCAATTGTACAACTCGCTGACAGTGTGCCTGCAGAGTGGGACCCTCACCTACCCCAACACCTGCCAAAGTATTTGCTCCAGTTATAGCTTGTTGCTGCCATGCTGCTTGCTGTCTAGGAGCGCACAAAGACACACAAACAGGTATCTCACAGAAGCTGTGCTGTAGATAAAACAAAAGCGGGTTCACAGGGGGAGGCCAGCGTTTATTAGACCCTGTGACGTAGCTGGGAAACACAAACATGCTTTCAGGTATGTAATTCCCTTCATCGGGGCTCTGCCCGCGGCGGCGGTCAAACCGTGGAGCAGTGTCGCGGGGCGTGCGTGGGTGAAGAAAGGCATCGAGGTGCTGGAGCGTGTCCAGGGAAGGGCAACGGAGCTGGGGCAGGGTCTGGAGCACAGGTCTGCTGGGGAGCGGCTGGGGGAACTGGGGGGGTTCAGTCTGGAGAAGAGGAGGCTGAGGGGAGACCTCCTGGCCCTCTGCAACTCCCTGCCAGGAGGGTGCAGAGAGGGGGGATGAGTCTCTGGAGCCAAGGAGCCAGCGCCAGGCCCCGGAATGGCCTCAAGCTGCCCAGGGCAGGGTCAGGCTGGCTCTGAGGTAAAATTTCTTCATGAAAAGGGTTGACAGAGACTGGAATAGGCTGCCCAGGGAAGTGATTGAGTCCCCATCCCTGGAGGTATTTAAAAGATGTGATGCTTAAGGAGATGGTTTGGTGGTCGACTTGTCAATGTTAGGTTAACATTTGGACTTGACGATTTTAAAGGCCTTTTCCAACCTGAACGATTTAATGATTCAATGTTCTTGGTCTATGTCAAAGCCAAAGTCATTCCTCATCAGCAGAACAAGTAGATATCCTTTGAACAAGGACATCCCAGAGCCATTAGACCTTGAAGATACTGTGCCAACTGAGCAAGCAAACTCAAGGTCTATGCATCCTTAGCTGAACTACCCTTATCATAATACTAAAGATTATGCCTATAAGTCAAGAGGATCCTTGCAAGGGTGAAGACCCTTCCCCTGAGCGTGCGTAGTAGTAGAAGTATTATGTCAGAACTGTTATAATTGTCTGTAAATTACTAACCAATCCTAGAGAGAATGGAATTGAAAAACTAACTCTGCCAGTTTTACAAATATAGCATGAAAAGTCACATTGGTGGCTTGTGCAACCCTAAAATAAATAAACAATTTCTCTCCCAAGTGTGTGATTATTGTCCTGTTGCACACCGGGCAACAAATCCACTTTTCAGACAACACCCTCACACAGAGCCTGTCACCTCAGAGCTGCTCCCCTCAGCCCGCTCCCATCAGCTGCCACCGAGTGCCAGTGGCCACAGCCCCCTCCTGGGGCCTGGGATATCTGTCATAGATGCACAGGGCCACCGAAGGCTGTGCGGCCGCGGCCCCCGCCCCAGCTCACCCTCCCCCCCAGCTGGTCAGCCCTTTGGCCCCAGCACTCTCCCCAGGAAGGAGGTGGCACATGGACATGCCAGGCCTCCCCTCCGCAGAATCACAGGATCATCTTGGTTGGAAAAGACCCTGAAGCTCCTTCAGTGCAACCATGAACCTCACTCTGACCATTCCCAACTCCACCAGATCCCTCAGCGCTGGGTCAGCCCGACTCTTCAACCTCTCCAGGGATGGGGACTCCCTCCCTGCCCTGGGCAGCCTATTCCAACGCCCAACAGCCCCTTCTGCACAGAAATCCTTCCTCAGAGCCAGCCTGACCCTGCCCTGGCGCAGCTTGAGGCCATTCCCTCTTGTCCTGTCGCTGGTTCCTTGGCTCGAGACTCATCCCCCCTCTCTGCCCCCTCCTGGCAGGGAGTTGCAGAGGGCCAGGAGGTCTCCCCTCAGCCTCCTCTTCTCCAGACTAAACCCCCCCAGTTCCCTCAGCCGCTCCCCAGCAGACCTGTGCTCCAGACCCTGCCCCAGCTCTGTTGCCCTTCTCTGGACACTCTCGAGTTATTCAATGGCCTTTTTGTGCTGAGGGGCCCAAAACTGGACCCACTCATCAAGGGGCAGCCTCACCAGTGCCGAGCACAGGGCTCAGATCCCTTCCCTGTCCCTGCTGGCCACACTACTGCTGATACAAGCCAGGATGCCATTGGCCTTCTTGGCCACCTGAGCACACTGCTGGGTCATGTTCAGCCGGCTGGCAATCAACACCCCCAAGTCCCTCCATGGCAGTGGGGCTCTCGCTGCCCGCTGCTCCTTCCTCGCTGCCCGCCTCGTTGCAGGGGCTGGTACCCATGTCCCACAAGGCCAGCACTGGCACTCCCTCCTGCTGATACCGCAGCAGTGCTGGAGGAGAGAGGAGGAAGAGTGATAAGGCTCCGTGGTGCCACAAGTTGTGATGGCTGTGCTCAGCTGTGGGCAGCACTGCCGACACCACCAAACCTTTCTGAGAGAGGGAAGTTTGTTCCCTTCCCAGGTGCTGGCAGAGGTGAAGCCTTGGCTCCCAACAATTTCCTGTCTGCCTACAGCATTTTAAAAAACATGTCGGTGAGTCACAATGGCCACAGCACAGAGAGCCCTGCAGCGTGTCACATTTTGGCCTAAGACACATTTTTATTCCTGCAGCAGTGTGAGTTCAGGTGGGTTCAGTGTGAATTCACAGCGATCAGGGTTGGAGAATTGCTCTGGTTGAAAAATGGTGTTTATTTGTGGTCTTTTCCAGCAAGATCTGTTCCTGAATCAAACGCACTGCAGGACTGGGCAAGCATTGTTGTGACACACCAATGGACAGGCAGTGCCAGAAAGTAATCCAGGTCCCTGGGGAGCAAGGTCCAGGTCCCCGGGGAACAAGGCAGCAAGCCAGGAGGGACACAGAGGCAGCTCGGGAGCCCAGCTAGGCTCGGAGCCCGGACAGTGCAGGGATGGGCCCGTTTGTGCTCTCCTGCCTCCAGCCTATGTCTGGAGCTCCCTCTGACGTGCAAGTGAAGTCTTGCTGTATGAAGGGTTAGCCAGGTAGCACATGGGGAGGAAGCCCGGGCACCCTCGGTTTCAGGGAAAGAGCACGTTATGACAGATTAAATCACGGTCTCCCCAGTGTGAGGCTCCTTGGTGGCAGCTGCACCCCGCGAACGTGACGGGAGCTGCATGGGCAGCCGAGGGCCTCGCTGTGCTTTAGCCTGGCAGCTGCCAGGGCTGGAGGCTTTTGCCTTTGTCACTCTCTGACACCCAGTAGGAGCTGTATTTTTTCCAAGAAACCACACCATCAGTTGTCCAGTGTGTCCAATGTCTCAGCAGCTGTTGGTCCCAAATACATCCTCTCCTTTTCCAACAGTTATTTCTCCCTTTATCTTTTAATGTTCATCCTAATGTGTGTTTGCTTCATCAGGCTTTTAGTGCTGGCTTTTTGATTTTTTTTTTAAATGATGGCCTAATTCCCCATTCCCTTCTGTCTTGTGGTGCTGGCACATGTGAAAGGTGAGCTAAGAATGATATGTTTTTACTTTGTTTGGGATGTGGTTTTGGTTTTTAAAGAGTAGACTATGACACCCTAAGCCTAGCCCTAAATATTCCCTCCTCTCCCTACAAGCCCATGTAGACTGGTGAGCTGCACTTTTTCTTTCATGCAAATTTACACCGTTTCTGGCCTCTGCCTTCAGCAGAGCTTTTGAGCAAGAGCAGAGCTGGCTCTGCAGATGTGTCCCACTGGTGAGCCGAGGGACAGGAGCGGGATTCGGAGCTAGGTTCGCTTTGGCAGAGCTTTGTCATCACCTGCTGCAGCACAGGGATGTGCACTGGTGGAGAAGAGGTTCGGGGAGGCTTTTGGGGAGGCAGCGAATCTGCCTGTGGGTGAGAAAAGCTTCCCTCTTCTTAAATAGTCCGCAGATACGGTCAGGTTTGCAAGGAGCTGCTTCTGATATTCAAGTGAAGGAACTGGAAAAGAGTGCCTCTGGGCAGGCATTTGAGCTGATACTCAGTCCCTGCTCAAAAGAAGCAGTCCCAGAATTCCCTCTTTCTCCCTCAAAGAAGGATGTGTCATTGGAAGAGATTC